CGGGGCAAGTTCTAGACATCAAATGCAATACACAGAATGACACAAAAACCTCAAACTCATGTGGCACCTAACTCACTCAGGATCGGATTATCAAGATACTCTAGTCAAAGCAGTTAAGCAAAGTTAAGGTCATATAATTTAAGGTCCTCATACAAGAGTCAAAAACTAAGCGTAAGTGTCACAACTAAAGCACTCGCTATTATCAAGGTATAATAAAATTAAGAGATATTGCCTCCAATTCAAATCATAGCACAAGGTTTTCTACTATTCTACAAAATAAAAACTAACTACACTCGGTTCAAACAAAACCCTTGGAAAAGAACTGCGGTACAAAGAAAAATCAAGGGAGAATTAATACACTAACTACAAAAGAAAATCTTTTTGTCTTTTCCTTTCGATTTTAATCCCTCAAGAAACCCGTCGAATGATATCCATCATCGGGAAAAATCAAAAAATTTAAATATTTTATGGTTTTTAATTTTTTTTTCCTATCTCTAGCTACTAAAAAGCAAAACTAAAACTAATATACATATACATACATACATACAAATATATCCCCCACCCTACACTTTAAGTTGTGGCATGTTCCCATGACACACAATTAAAAAGCATAATGTAGAGAAAACTTCCCCGAATTTTCTTCTTTTCCGAGGACTTATGAACTTCATCCCTAATTCTGAATTCATTCCTCGTTTTCGCTCCTTGGGATTCCTTATGGAGCTCATTAAGCTCAAGTCCTTTGATACCTGCAAGACCCGCTCTTTTCTTTCTTTCTTATCCTCATCTTGAGCGGTGAATTGCTCGTTCATGATCATTCTCAACTTGTTCCTGCATTCTTTCACAGGATCAATCCATACATATTCCTGTAAATCCCCAATAATAAAATCCACATGATCAAGGTTAGAATAAGAAAACACATAAGAAAGGTCAAGTGAATATTCCTCTGGTATGTCCAAGACCATTTGTTTCTCATTCTCTTCTACTAAAGGTTGCAAATGTGGAAAGGTGGATGAGGGTTTAACTCTTCTTCCGTTGCTTCACACTCAACCACAGCCTTATTCTCGATCATCTCAGTTGAATCAGAGTCTTCTTGTACCGTGGAAATCTCCCTCTGTAGACGTTCATCCTCTTGAGTAGGCTCATTCTCGCAGGGTATCTCCTCCATATATTCACCATCACAACGCAAAGAGCTTTTTGAGAGTGTACTTATTATTTGACTTACTTGCATTGTTAGGTTGTTAATAGCTTTATCATCTTGTGTAAATCTCTCTTCCACCTTATTTATGAACTTATATACAAGCTCTTCTAAACTACCATTCTCCCCTTGAGGTGGTTGTCTCACTTTGCTTCCATTCCAGTTATAATAAGGGTATCCATCCCAACCAAAGTCAAGATTGTTCCCATATGAATCCTCATACCTGTACGGACTAGAAACAGAGTGAGACTTTTCAAAATACGAACTATAGGAAGAATACATACCTGCTTTACAGTCAACCCATAGATGATTTCGACCACATTAAAAACACATAGCACACCGCTGACAATGTTCAACTTCTAACTCTTCAACCGTTTTCTTAGGCTGGTTGTACTCCATCTTTACAACATTTAGAGTTCAATATCAAGAATATTTTCAAGAGTTCTTCAACAAAAGAAATCTTGAAGACAAGTTAACTAAACAAAACTAAAACTAAGAGGAAAAAAAATTAAAAGCTAATTCCTGAATTAGCACTACAAACTATTTCAAACACTATTGATTGCCAATCCCCAGCCACGGCGCCAAAATTTGATGAGCTATTAAACACTCACTTAAATATGCTCTCTAGTCGAATATAGTATAATATAATATCGTATCCACATGGATTAGAGTTAAACAGTATTTTCGTAGTTTATAGCTTGATTGCTATCCAAGATGATCAACAATTGAGATTTGTGTGATAATACTAAAATTTACTAAGAGTCTAAACTATTGACGAATGACACTCGAAACAAGAGTAAGCAAAGAAGATATCAATAGGAGAAAATAGGAGTTGATTGGATAGGTGCAAGATACTTGTCTAGGATTTAACTCTAGTTAATTCACTCCTAATATTCAAGTGAGTCTCTTGAATTCACTCAATTATTAGTTCAAATGTTCAGTGGAAACTCCTCTCTCGATTAAGTCTCAACCTCACAAGATGAACTAAGTTAAGCTCAGCGAAGATATGCAAGAATTCGTAGTGGATTGGTCTTTAGGAGAACCTCTTTCGATTGCCCTCCTAACTAGGTCTAAATAATAATTCAACTAACTTTGGCCAGAACACTGCCTAACTTGCGCGCCCAGTGCACGCTCGCGCACCTGGGTAGCCTCTGAACTTTGCCAATTTCTGACATAAATTTACACTGCTGCGTCGCACTAGTGTAATTTTTCAGCAGTTGATTCTTCCTTGAATTTTGATGTCCAGCATTGATCCTCGACCCCCGAACACGATCCTGGCTTATTCCTTTGGGCTTTTACTCAGACTTCAAAACTCCAAATAACTTGAATTAGTTTCACAATATCTACATAACTCGGAACCAGTCGTACAAGGCATAAAACATAACAATTAGTGCAAAACACTAGTGATTGAAAGCTCAACTCAATTAAAGTGCAGTAAATTAGAGTGCGATAAGCAACTAAAATACGCAATTATAGCCTACCATCAGTGTCCTCACCATTTGTGAGAGAATAGAAAGACAAAGGCTCAGATTTGGTAATCAACAAATCCGCACGATAAGGAATCAAAGAAGTGCAATTTTTCTAATAGTTCTAAAGCCTCTCGAAGATAAGTACAGACGTCTCCGTACCGATCTGCAAGACTAAGACTAAACTTGCTTATGACTCGTACCACCTATGAACCTAGAGCTCTGATACCAACTTGTCACAATCCCAAATTCCCACCCTTAGGATGTTGTGATGGAACCTTAAACTGATAAATCTCATAATAACACCAAAACGAAATAACAATCACATAATCCCCAAATCTGGTGGAACTAAGGCATAAGCTCTAAAGAAAATACACTAGTAATCTCTAAATACAACATTGTTTGATATGAAGATAAACACTAGTAAGTCGATCGACTAAGCAATCAATCATAGCTACTTTATCTAATCATGCTGAGATAATTGTTATTCATGAAGCAAGTCGAGAATGTGTGTGGTTGAGGTCTATAATACATTTTATTCGAGAAAAATCTGATTTGAAGTGTGATAAAATACCCACGATTTTGTATGAAGACAATGTAGCACGCATAGCCCAATTGAATGGAGGATTCATAAAAGGAGATAGGACATAACACATTTCACCAAAGTTATTTTTCACACATGATCTTCAAGAGAATCGTGATATTAATGTGCATCAGATTCGTTCAAGTGATAATATGGCTGATTTGTTCACCAAATCTCTACCGACGTCAACCTTCAAGAAGCTAGTGTACAAGATTGGGATGTGAAGGCTCAAAGATGTGAATTGATGCTCTCATCAGGGGGAGTTATATGTGTTGTACTTTTTTTTCCTTACAAGATTTTGTCCCACATGATTTTCCTTGCAAGATTTTTAACGAGGCAGCCAAAAGGCATATTGTTAAACATGTGTACTCTTTTTTCTTCACTAGAATTTTTTTTCACTGAGTTTTATTTTAGTTAAAGTTTTAACGAGGAACATTATCTGTTGAATAGACATTCAAGGGGGAGTGTTATAAATAGTTTCGTATTTAAGGTGAATGTCTATCTTTTAGAGAGTTTTTAGAATTTGTTACTTTATGGTTCAGTCAGTTTTTCCCTATAAATAGAGGGGTTCTATCTACTATAATTCATCCCAAATCAATAAAATTCTCTCTCTTTTCTCTGCAATATTCTTCTTCTCTTTCATTATTTTATTTCACCTTCCAATAATTTAAAGTTTTGGGCTTAATATAAATCCTTCAACGACCCAAATTTTAAGTCGACATGTGAGTACTTGTAAGGATTTAAATTTTAATTATAGGATACACTATAATTTTACTGGCTATAATAGGTAACTTTCTATCTTTTGTTGGTTACTAATTTATACTTGCTAAAAAAAACTCAAATTTAGTTAGTTTCATGATAGTGTAGAATTCCTTGCCTGTAAAAATTTAAAGTCATTATGGAAATTATATGTCAAAAACTGAAAAGGAAAACAAACGAGTTCGTACGCGAGTTGGTAAGTTCTGTCTCTCGTAACCTCATATATATTTGGTTCAAGGAAGATTAGGGGAAGGGTGAGGCCTTGGAGGAGAGTTTATTTCATTAGGAGAAGTATATTGTTCTTCTTCCTCTTTGGTTATTTGGAACATCAGAAGGTAACTGACTTACATTTACTTTCTCCTTTTCTTCAGAATTTTAAGATATTGAGAAGATTGACATAGCTCCTCGCCTTCAATTTTACATCCTAAAAAAGGGAAATAATATGTGGTCACCTATACTTTCCCTCTTTAATGTTTCCTCTTTTCTCCCCAAACCAACAAAACAAACTCAGATGGGGTCTGGAGGGGGTAGTATATACGCAGGAGAGGGTAGTATATACGCAGATTTTACCCCTACCTAGTAAAGATAGAGAGGTTGTTTCCAGCTTTCTCCCAAAACCAAAAAGAGCATTAGTTTCCATATGGGATTCTAACGTGATTTATAAAGCATTTGTTCACTTATAATGTTATGGTTTAGATTGTTCTTAGGTTTCGGCAAAAGTTGCTAAGCTAGTTTTTGTTGGAACATGATCTTAGCATACAATTTTTCAAATAATCATCTGAAAGCATTTAGATGCTCCATAAGGGTATACTTGACGTTGACAACCATAATCATTTTAGTAAAAGTTGCTTAAAGTGATAATTACCAGTAAACAGTAATAACTTGCTGGGAGTAAACATAGAGCACCCTCTCTGCGATCACCTGTTGGCCAAACTTTATCCACTGCTGATAACAGTTAAATTCGTAGAACTTGCTAAAAGCAGTAACAGATTTGGAATAAAGATGTGAACTTTGAGCCAAAAGGCTAGGTTCTAAATGTATACCTAAATCTATCTATACTTGTTCTTTGCAAATAATATTGAATTCTACCTCAAAAACACTGCGTTTGCTAAACCCGCAAACCCATTATTGGATCCATCACTGCCTAAAGTAAACATTATCAGTAAGCGTTACAACATATTCCCGTTAAATTTACAACAAAGAGGGGTATTTCCACTCGCAAAGGAGAAATACTACATTTAATATATTCGAACGCCATTCAGCTAACATCATGCGTTGTGATGGGATTATTACCTGATATACATGCAGACAAAAAAAGGGTATTAACTCAACTAACATGCTAGGTTGAAAGAAAAGTAAGAGAACCTTAGTCTAAGTTTTGCTAACATCAAAGACAGTTTTCACTAGATTACAATTTGTTGATTTCTATTTCAACTCTAACAAGCACATAATACACAGCAAAATATTCACTCAAAAGCCTCTTAAAGAGCCTTGGCAAGTAAAAGAACAAAAGCAAAAAAGCCACATGCATCAAGAAATATAAAACAGACATATCTTAAAGCTATGAAATAAGATACCAGCTTCTCAAGACCTAGAATTCTAGATCTTCTGAAAGAATGTCACATACTCTTTTGACTTCTATAAGTGATGTTTAGGTGCTGTCATCTCCGTTTCATTTTTAACACAGAGTCTCCTCATAGGATTCTGTCTTGGAGATCAGACATCAAAGTGGATGCTAAGGAGGTAAGCTTCTTCCCAGTTTCTCCAGCAATATTTTTGATCGAGGAGATATCTTGTTGTGCCTGGAAGCATAAAAGGAGACTTTGAAAAGGAAGATCCAAACAATACCTTCACAAAGAAACTGGTGAAGAGCGAAGCATTGTGTATCATAACTGCCACTATACCTGGAAAGAGAGCCGATTAATAAGTTCTCCTGCAGTGACGTCGAAAGCTGCCCCATCATCTTGACCAAATAGGTCAGCACTAGAGATGGCACTTGAACCCTAGGAATACAAAGAGGGAGAGAAAGTAGGTTTTAGAACCTGAATTTGCTTCTTCAGTTTTCAGGTAAACTTCATATAGTAGCAGAAGGATCAGCTTCAATATCAGATATCGAAGCAAACTTCGTCAATTAGTCCATTATGCATCATAAGCACATTCAAAACCATCAGACGAGCTAAGGTAATAAGTTGATAACCTAATTATAGCACACTGTTATGAGCTGCACCAAACAATTGGCTTACAGATTATAATAATAGCTGAATCTGCTAAAATAAGCTCAAACGAGCAGTTATTAGAAGAATCCAGGGGTTGAATATTTTAGCAGTACATTAGACTATTAGAGAGCTCCACTATATTTTGTGAGTCATTAAAGATGCATTATTTTGACAACTTGTTTGCAATATGATCTGTGAAAGGCTTATTAGAAGAAGAAGGTAATAGTTCAAAGCAAACTGTTTAACTCCTACCAAAAGTTGGTCCCGAGAAGTCTGTTAAATGTGTTTCAATAGGAAGAGGATCAGCTAAATCATGTACAGGCATTCTCTACCCCCTCAATTTCCCTATTAAACAGCATGATAAGTGTGAAACGAGAGAATAGAAAATACCCTCAATTTCCTTAATCCTTATGTAAGAGTTTGACTTGAATTGGTGACTGAAAAGCAGCCAAAAAAGTTACAAAGAGACCGAAAAAGCTACTAGAAAAAGTGACAGGAAGAATGATCAGAAAAAAAAAAGAAGAAGAGAGAACAGGATGAAAAAGCACGTGCTGCCTGAACTGCCACCAAAAAAGAGGTCCAGTGCCTGCAAAATAGGTAAATGAAGCTGAAACGGCCTCCAACAGATAGCACGTTTGCAGCATACCCCGAAAGGGAATTGGCTTATAATTCCTGAACCGGGATGTGCCAGTTAACAACAACTTCAGGAAATCTGGAGACGTCGGCAGGGGTCTCGGGAAGATATACTATCAACAAATATACATTCATCATGTTCAGAACCCAAATCCTGGTTTCTAATGAATTATGTACTTAGGAAGCTCTCACAACAAACTTTAATTAGATATACATTCAACTTAATGCAAATTCTCACTATTGAATGAGATAAAAATCAAAAGGAGAAACCAAGCGAAGGAACATAGGGGTACATATGCTGCTGTGAAGTAGGGATGCTTGTAGAAGTTAGGAATGGAAAAGATTCTGAAACCTATAAGGAATATTTTGTGTCGGGCACTGGTAGATGGCAATTCAAGGATTCAATGCTTACAAAAACAGTAGGTACACGCCTATATAAATGATAAGGACATACTAATACTTCCCTTGTCCTAAATTTGTTGCCCTATATTGATGGTTAAATACAAATTGACTTATTTAGTTTTGGAACATAAATTTAATTGTTTGATATCAATTCTATCCTAGTTTAATACTTTAATAAGTGTCTACTATTGTTAGTTAAACTGTGATAATGAGGTCAAATGTCATTCTAAAATATGGTCAAAACCACTTAAACCGGGAGGAGGGTGAAATAAGCAAGCATACCGAGAATTTCTGTAGAGAGACTGAGGATTCCATTTCAGATTTAGACTGATCACCAAAGAATTGAGCAGATGAAATAGATTTGGCATTAGAAAACTTCTTCCTTGCTTCATCAGTTTCCTCAATCTGATTAGAGTAGAATGTAATCAAATAAGGTAAAGCATCTTAATAGCAATGGATAAAGATCAAGAAGCAGAGAGAAGGAAAAACTTGGATTCTACACAAACATCACAAGTAAACATCTAAGAGATAGATCAGGAAGAAAACAACTGAGAGAGAAAAGGAACATAATCACAAATAGAAACATCCAAAAACTAATGATGCAAAAAGAGAAGCAAGAACCTTCTTCTAGGCAGTCTAGGAATACCTGGAATATTTTAATAAGTAACCAAACACTAGAAAATTGAGGTACAAAAGGAGTAGGATGAAAATTAATCCTTTGTTGATTTTCCACAAGGATAGATATACTCTAACAAGCCCTGAAATACAGAAATTTGTTGGTGGGAAGGTCAGCGGGACAATAAGCATACTCCAGAACGCATGGGAATTTCATCAATGAAATAATATCTACAGAAGAATCCAAAGCTCCAATAGAACTGAGTCTTGCTTATTGACAATCCAGGACACTCGAAACAGGATCAAAACAAACTTCAAGCGGCTTCACCAATTTTTAATAATTAAAGTTCCTCTCAATCCAAAAACTCAAGACCATGACAAGAATGACAAAGCCATATCAGTTTGGTGTTTCTCACAACCAATTCCTCTTTTATTAAGTAATTTTTTTTTTNAAAAATTGGTACAGTGAGATCTGCAACAGGGAACATCAGACCAAGATATCACTATTTTTAGGGCTCAATAGAATAGAAAACCAAAGACAAAAGCCACACCACAATAATATCCACCTTTCTCCTTCCGTTAAACTTTACATATAAACATAAATGATAAAGATTATCCCTTTTCTCTTTGAACCTAGTTTTACGCCACTAAGCTTCTATGCAAAAGATACTGAGCTGATTCTTGATATTTCATTGAACCAGCTTTAACGAAATCCTGGATGATCATGGAAAATAAAAGCTAGAATAAGAACTCACTTGAATTTTTGAAGAATTGGAACTTGTCTTCTTTGTGAAACCACTATCCGTTTCATAATCTGCAAAAAAGTTGGAGGACTTCTGAGGGGCTACATGGTTAAAAACACGAGGGCCTCCAAAACTCGTCTCAGCAGGTTGGACATTGTCTATGTACTCAAAACGAGATGTGAACGATGAACCAACAGTTGTTGCATTACTTGCAGTGTTGGAGGAGGAAATTTGAACGGGCGGTTCTTCAGGCTTCTGGTCATAGAGACTTTCACTTGGCTGTACATCGGTAAATAGTCAATTGACTAGAAAACTAAATTTACTACGACAAATTTGTTAACCACCATAAAAGCGGGGTTATTACTTTTTTTTTTTGGGTCAAATAAGCATGATGCAGGATATCACTTTATTTCAAAGCATCCAACTTACGTCTATGCCCAATTTCTTGGTTGTATGTCTAATATGTACCTTTTTAGTAAGTTTGCGAGCTCCAAGTCCACCTGACTTCCCAGCTTTCTTCGCAACTATAGGTTTCGTAAAAGAGGTGGTAATAACTTGAGAGGCTTTGGGTGAAGCAGAAACCTCGGGTTTTTCGTCCTTCAATGAAGACGTTTGTTTTGTTGGTTCACTGGTCTTAATATCAGGAAATCCATTAGTAGCCTGCGCAGCCTGAGAAGCAACAGGTGAGGCTGGCAAACCTGCATCCTCTGCAGTACTTTTAGCAACCTCTTTTAAGAGTAACTGCCTATACAAGTCAGCAGCCCTTGAGGTATATTTGGCATCAGTCTTGCCTCCATCGCTCCATCCATGCTGCTTGAAAAAAACTTGAGCACGGTTATTTCCACCAAAGTACATCATTTTTAACTGCTCTGGAGTCCACGAATCTAAATTTGTTGATCTGCAAGACTCAGCTTCTCAGTAAATGGAAATTACAATGACAACAACAACAACAAACCCAGTATAATCTCACAAGTGGGGTCTGGGGAGGGTGTGTGTACGAAGACCTTACCCCTACCTTGAGGGCTCAGTAAATGGAAATTATAAATAATAATATGATAAAGCAACGGCAGAAGATTTACTCACTCTTGTTTGACCACATCAACCCTTGTCCCCCAACCCCATTATAGTTTAAAAAAAAGAAAAAGAAAAAAAAGAAGCCTATCGGCCTGCCACCAACATCTTAACCAGCAAAACCAAAATATTAACAGCTAGTCTACTCTCTCCTCCCTTTTAACAACAGTGACCAAAGACATGAACTGACATCTCCTTCCACATCACTCACTCTTTTCTTTGAAGCAATCCCATGTCCCAACAAAAGGCAGCAAAGATACTCAAAAGCACACCGTCCATGCCCCCCATAATCTGGATAGGCAGATTTGCCACAACAGAAGTTAACATGTGAAAGGGGTGGTTTCTGGAATTTTGTGGAAAATAAGAAGTGGTGCCAAAATTGTGGAGTTATTTATGGATGAACGCAAAAACGAGCAAGACTATATCGAAACCTTCCAAGTTTCCCTAACTATTCGGATGTACTCTCTATTGACACTGCCTTATTAGTCACAGTCTGCCATCTTTCTTTCTTAATTGTACATATTGAGAAGTTTTGGGTGTTGAATTATATTCTCTGATTTACATTTCACTAAAACATAGAGTAATTTGTCATACGTTTTCTTTTTCCAACCCCTGATTCCCTTTCTTCCACACATCCTCATCTAAATGGTAATTCCTCATCTCCAACAACCTTTTCCCTTACCACATTATAAACCCTGACTTCTGTTAGACTATCAATAACCCGTGTAGCTATCCATGGCATATCCTGCAAATTGCTCCTTAAAACATAGAGTAATTTGTCAAACGTTTTCTTTTTCCAACCCCTGATTCCCTTTCTTCCACACATCCTCATCTAAATGGTAATGCCTCATCTCCAACAACCTTTTTCCTTACCACATTATAAACCCTGACTTCTGTTAGACTGTCAATAACCCGTGTAGCTATCCATAGCATATCCTGCAAATTGCTCCTTAAAAACTCGTCTTCGTGTTCTCAACCGATAATATCAGCCAGTCACTCCTTTTTCTTTTTCTTTTATTCTTATCCATTAAAAACAAAATGGAAATGAACCAAAAACAGTGGGAGTGAAATAGTATAAGAAACTCATATGATCTTCATATTGTGATTTTATTGGTAGTTGCTTATATTGTTTTGGCCAATTTATTTTAGTCCAAGCGGGGACCCAAGGCTTTGATCTAATGGTAAGAGCATAGCTTGTGAAGTGTGGGTTAGACGCATATCACAGATTCGAACCCTGCTACACACAAAAGCCTGGTATTTAAGTGGAAAATGGTAGAGGAGCGGGTGATGGTAGGCTAGGAACACGTGTTTTAGCTGCATTTTGCACTCTAATTACTGCACTTTGAGCGTATTTGAGCTTAAATGATGGTGATTTGCACTTATTACGTGTTTTATGCTTTGTAGGAGATGATTCCGAGTTAAGAAAATATTCTGGAGCTAAATTGAATAATTTGGAGCTTTGAGGTCTAAGTAAAAGCCCAAGAAATTAAACCGGGATCGCATCCGGGGCTCGTGGACCGGCGTTGCATACGAAAGTTGGAAGAAAGCGCATGGGCTGGAGCAAAATGTACTAGCGCGTCACATAAGGCGTGGCATTAAGCGTCGCATTAGTACAAAAGTTCGTCAGAAGTTTGAGAAGTTCAGAGACTTGGAGTTTTTGGGTCTGACAGAAAAATACACTAATGTGACGCAAGGCGCGTGGCATAGTGCGACGCATTAGTACAAAAGTTTGCCAGACAAGCTAAGTTCAGAGAGTTTACAACTGAGCAAATTATACTAATGCGACGCAGGGTGCGTAGCACTGTGTGACGCATGAAGTGTAAAAATTTTGCAGGTTTTTTCATTTCGGCTCAAGGAGGGTAGTTTGGTCCAGGCACGTTCCGACTTGGTATAAATACACTAGAAACACGTTTTTAGAGCACTTTTGACCTACGGAAGATTGGAAGAGCATTGGAGACTCAAAGCACAAGGATTCATCATTCTTTCCTCAACTCAACACCCGAGTTTGGATTGAATTCATGTTTTCTTATAATTCAACTTTATTTGTGATGAATTTCTCCATGAATACGGAGTAGTTTACCTTAGGGTTTGACGGATATGGTGTTTTGATTGATATTTGTGGATTTTAACTCTAGTTCTTTGCTTCAATTCGTTTATGGAGCTTTGAATTGATTGCAACTTTATTCACCAGTTTATTTAATCGAAAGAGGGATATTTTGGTGATTATCTTTGCATTATTTTGTTTGGTTTAATTCAGTGATTCTTTTAAATAATCGAAAGAGCTTGTTGAATTGTTGATTAAATCAAGTTAGGAGAATATTCGAGAGACGTTTTCCTGAAGACTAATCCATTAACGCATGTTTGCATATGTTCACAGTGCTTATATTAGTTCACCTCGTAGAGTTATTAATCGAGAGAGGAGTCTTGACTACACGTTTGAACTAATTATCGAGTGAATTCGTGAGAATCATTAGAACTTTAGAGTGATTGAACTAGAGTTAGATCCCAAATAGCTATCTTGCACCTATCCTGTCATGACCCTTGTTTCTCCCATTGATATTTCGGTGTTGCTCAACTCTTGTCTTTCTGTGATGAATTATTAATCGTTTTAGTTTCATAGTTAATTTTAGTTATTAGTCATCCCAACCAAAGTGTTAATCATCCTGAATAGGGTTAAGCTAGAAATTACTTGAGCATTGTTTAAATTCAGTCCCTGTGGAGACGATAATTAAACTATACTATCTTTGGCTAGCGAGCATCAATTTCGTATTGTGTTTTGCGCTCGTCAGCAGGTCAATTATCCACCGAATTTCGAACAGTGCGTCATTGGCCCTCGGGATTTCTCGGTGATAAAAAAAAAATATTCCAAGCAAGGATTTGCTTCAATGGGAAAACTAATTAGGTGCATAAGAATACTGACCACCTATTTAATCTATAACTACGATTCTCTCACTCCTATTCACCCCAAGCTGTTATCTTTCGACATTTCTTCACATAAATTGAAACACTAAACAACACGAGGAATTCATATTATCAAAAACCAAAAATATCACAATATAAGTGAATGTTACCATAGCACTTAACAACTCATGCATTTCACTGGTGTCTAACTTACACCAAAGTCACAACTTTTAACATGTTATTAAGAACAATTTCAACTTCATCGAACCTAAAAAGTAAAGGTGCCATGCAAAGCAAGAACAAGCAGAAAATCAGCTCGCCAAGCCAAAATAGACAGCTCTAAAATGAAATTAAAAAGAAAAAGATTACCTAACAAAACTGATGTGAACACCGAGGCTGCGATGAACTGCCGAACAATCAATACACAAAAAGATCCCATACGTCACCGATGCCCACGTAGGATTCTTAGCATTGCAATCAAAACACATCTAACCAAAAAAATTCAAAATTCGAATTATATTCTAACAGATCTAAAATCAGATCTCAAATTTTTGAATCTAATAAAAAACAAAAAAATTAAGAAATGAAATACTATAAAAGAGTTTTAAAAAAATAAAAAGACAACCTTGTTATCAGGCTTGGATTTAAGCTTCCGAAAAACAGCGTTTTTGTCGCTGAAATTCTCGGAAGCCATGGCTGTACAATTAGAAGATTCTAGAACTTCCCAATTATGAAATTGGAGAGATTTGATAGAGAGTAACAAAGAGGAAATGCTTCCTCAGGGAACGTACAGATGATGATGCACGAAAAGCAGTAAGAGGAATATATGTAAAACCGCTAATTTGCAAATGTATGAAGTATAAATTTAAAAAACAAAAAAGAATTTTCCTTTTTGGTAGTTATTTTCTGTGTCCNTCTCAACATTTGTTAGGACTAGGCACTCCATAATTTGATAAATACCGAATTACCATACCGAAATTAAAATTTTTGGTATTTTGGTATTTGGTTTATATTTTTTTAAAAATTGGTATTAAATATGGTATTTGATATTTTTTTTTAAATATCGAAATACCGATACCGTACCGAAATATATATTGGATTAATTTTAAATATCATGTCATCCTTACCGCCCGAGTTATACCAGAGAGTTTCAGGAGAATGTTTCTAGTTCCATGTTCTTTTGTGAAAGCCTGTGTGCCACCTATTTTTGTCTATGATTAATGGATGTTACCCGAATGATTCTTGTAAACAATACGTGAAAAACTGATTTTGTCACATTTGTGAAGCTTACTGCTGTCTGATATATTACAGAGATGCAAGTTAGAGATTTAAACCAGACATACTTACATGTTGATAAAGTTTGCAAACGTTATTCTAATCTTATGCTCCTGTTTATAGAAGTCTCATTTATGATGTATAGTGTTGTTGCATTCATAAGATTGATTTAGCTTGCTAGTTATAATTTTAATTTTGCTAGCTAGTTAAGGTGTTATTCTCCCCTAAATATAACGTTCAGAAGCTGCTTTAGAACCGAATAAACCGAAGTTACCGTACCGAATAAACCGAAACCGAAAGGCGAAAAACCGAACCATACCGAATTTAGTTAGGTACGGTATTGGTATAGCATTTTAGGATACCGAATACCAAAAATACCGAATCAAACATCTAAATACAGTATCATACCGACCGACGAAAAACCATGGTCAGGACTTGTGGAGTAGAGTGTAAGATTTTAAAGTGACAAAAATGACCTCCAGATTTGGTGAATATTTGGAACTGAATACGGTGCGATGTGTTTGACTTGTGGAATCCGGATGGTTTCTTATTCACCAACCTGTGGTTCTTGGAGGTGGACAGCTTACTAGAGTTCCTAACAGCATACCAGGTTTTCTTTTTTGTTGATAATTCTCATATTTGGCCTGAATCGAACTTTACAATAACCATGGAGAGAAATTCTTAATATGTATTCGTGACAAATTGACAATCGAAGCTTAGAGTTTGTTTTCTTCTCTCTTTTGGTGAAAATATTTAGGATATTGGAATATTTTGAGATGAACTATATGGTGAGGATTAAATATTATACCTTTCCATCAGTGTAGTGTCATCCAGTCTCAACTTAGTTTGTAAGTGCAGCTTTGCCTAATTCAAATTCTTTTTTCATCTAATTGAATCAAGATTTGCGATAATGCTAATTTGGCTACAGTATGAAAATAGTTCTTTTTTTATAAATGAGGTTTTACCCAACATAAATTTTAGATGTGTAACAAATCAAATTACATTTGAACTCCAAATATAAGTTTAAGTCTTGAAAGCCTTAATACAAGGCCTAAAGAAATTTAAAAATAAATTTTACTTAATCATCGAAATTCGAATAATATTGTATAAATTGGAATTTCTTTTCTTTATTCTTTCTCTCTTTAAGCTTCACTTCTCATTTTTTTTGTTCTATATGTCTTTTCTCATCGAATTTAACTATGTTTCCTCAACTTATAAACGTATTTTTGCATATACAACAACTTTAACTATTCAATTTTCTGTTATTCTTCTTTGTTTTTGGTGTCAATCTTACATATATGTCTTGCTATAATTATTAGAAAATATTCATCGTTTATAAAAATAAATTAACAATATTAGACATTGTAATTGTTTACATGAGATAACAATTGTAATATTGTATCCATGTTTTACGTCAAGCACTACTTCGTGCATGCTCCACTTGGCTCCGGGGAGTCATTAAGGTGCATATCAAATGCTTACCGATAAATTCTTATAATTTAACTCTTAACCTTGCTTCGTAGAACCTAATATATAGGGATAGATAGAGACAGAAATATGGCTATATGTTGGGTTTGGGGAAGGGTATGGTGAAGAGACAGGAGCGAAGAATGGTGATAAAATAAGTCCCATATCTACATGTAAGGGGGGGGGGGTGTTGATGAAACTATACGTCTCGCAGATTATGCATGAACATACTCATGGCCCCTTTTCTTGCTCAGTTCCTCAAAAAAGGGATTCATCATCCCTCAAAAGATTACATCTAAGGGGATTGATAAATTCAGCTCAATTCATCAAGATAAGCAGACATGCAAACAATCAGAAATTGAAGTAGAGGGTGAGAAGAAGAGAGATGCAGAGATGAGATGAAGAAGATGAGTTGGAATTATATTTTCTATTAGTGTATTACACGTGAGTGGTCCCTTTTATAGACTCCACTTAACCGACTCCAACTAACTCGATATTCATATTTATACTTTAGTCCCTTAACTAGTTACAAGTGCATCCTAGTCTATACAACAATACTCCCCTTCAAGCTGGGGGATGAAACACATTGAACACACCAAGCTTGAACAAGAGAAAGTGTTGATGTGATGAACCCAAGCCTTTGGTCATGAGATTAGCCAACTGCAAACTGGTAGAAATATATTGAGGTGCCAACTGTCCATTCTTGATTTTCTCTCAAACAAAGTGGCATAGTTCTCGATGTGCTTAGTTCGTTCATGAAATATAGGATTAGCAGCTATTTGTATAGCTGCTTTACTATCACAGTGTAAAGACACTGGTTGCTGAACATGGACCTGGAGTTCCTTGAGTAATCCTAAGAACCATGTGATTTCTGCGGTTGTTGCTGCTAGACTCCTGTACTCAGCTTCAGCTGAGCTTCGACTGACAATTTATTGCTTATTTGACTTCCATGAAAGTAAAGAATCTCCTAGTTTGATAATGTACCCTGTGACAAATTTCCTAGTATTAGGACTGGAGGCCCAATCTGAATCACAATAAGCAGACAATGTGTCTATAGGCCCTGTGCTTAGCAAAATACCAAGACCTGGGATGTCTTTACATATCTCACTACTCGCAATGCTGCATCCCAATGAGATTATTTGGGATGCTGCATGAACTAACTGAGCACCTGGACTGCAAAACTGAGATCTGGTCTGGTGATGGTCAAGTAGAGCAGCTTCCCAATGAGTCTTTGTTAGCTCCCTATATCTTCTAATTCTTCATCCTCATTCACCCCAACATGTTTGTCATAGTCAATAGTGGTCAATTTCTGGTTGAGCTCTATAGGGGTGGAGATTGATTTAGCTCCTGCAAGCCCAACCTCTGATATCAATTGAAGGGCATACTTCCTCTATGTGAGCAGGATCCCTTTCTTTGATCTTAGAACCTCAATGCCAAGGAAATATCTCAGCTCCCCTAAATCCTTAACTTTAAAAGAATTGTGCAGTGTCTATTTGGCTTCATCTATTAGTTCCACATTGCTTCCAGTGATGAGCAAGTCATCCACATACACTAAGATAACAACAATGTGAGAGTTCGTATTCTTAGTGAAGAGTGAATGATGATAAGCACTTTGATGGTACCCTGCTTCCACCAAAGCCTCAGTCAATTTGATATTCCATTGCCTTGACGCCTGGTTGAGACCATACAGTGATTTAAGTAATTTACAGACCTTGTACTCCCCTTGTTTCTGGAAACCTTAAGGTAGATCCATGTAAACATACTCATAAAGATGTCCTTGCAGAAATGCATTATTGACATCCATTTGAAATAGATTTCATCCTCTAGAAGCTGTTGTGCTTATGATTATTCTCATAGTAATTATTTTTTTGCTACAAGGGAGAAGGTCTCATGATAGTCCAACCCTTCTTGCTGTGTGTAACCCTTTGCTACCAGTCTAGCCTTATATCTCCCTATTTCTCCATTTGCCTTATATTTTATCTTAAACACCCATTTGGATCCTATGGCCCTTTTTCCAACAGGTAGGTCAACAATTTCTCATGTGGCATTGTCCTCAAGAGATTTAATCTCCTGTGACATTGCTTCTACCCAATTTTTGTCCAGACAAGCTTCCTTGAAGCTCTTTGGCTCAACTGTTAATGAATACACACCCAAATAGGCTTTGTAGTTTGTTGACAGATGAGTGTACGACACAGTGTTTGAGATGCAATAAGGATAGTTCTGGGTGCTAGAGATTGTAACATAATCCTTCAGCCGGATGGAAGGTTTTGAAATTCTACTAGATTTCCTGATAGTAGCTTCATCTGCAGGAACTCCCTCCATAAGTGATTGATCTGTGACTGGTTGCACTTCAACTGATTTTACAGACTGATATATAGTGGATGTATCAGCTGAATCTACTTTCTGAGGGTTTACTGCAGGTGTTGATTCCATGATTAGTGCAGGTGATGGATGATCATATAGAGATTCAATTGGGTGGTAGTAATGTATGGTTCTTCAGTGGCTGCCTGCTCCTCATCATGAGGGGCCTGCTCCCCATTATAAGGTGCATGAATCATTTGTCCAGGCATGAGTTCATTTGTGTCAACAGAAGGTTTACCACATGAAAACAGGTCTTCAGTGATATGAGTTCCTTCCTTGAAAGGAAAGACTTGTTCCCTATGCTGCAAATATATATTGTGATTTGAAGTAACATTATTGGTGGTGAAGGATGAGGAAGGACATTATTGGGCATGTGTCACGGTGTTTGAATTGTCAATAGGTCAAGTGTGAACGTCAGAAATCGGGTGTTTGATTCAGAGGATTGAGATATTAGAGTGGAAGTGGGAGCGCATTACTATGGAATTTGTTGTAGGATTACCATGGACGTTGAGGAAGTCTGATGCCAGGTCTACATCAGAGAAAAATCTTCGCTTGCATAGTGTACATGTGTCTATCATCTCAAAATGTACCATTCAGTTTAAATCATACTTTTGGAGAGCGGTTCAGCGTGAGTTGGGCACACATGTGGAGTTGAGTACTGCATTATACACTACGCAACTTCCATAAATGACAGTATTCATAGAAATGCTAGAAATGCTTATATTCTTAATTCCCCATGTGTCCTATTATTCTATCATCTGTTCATGGGT